AGCGTCTGGCAGTACGGAGCTAATATTATGGAAGCAGTCAATAAATTGATAATAATAGATGGGTATTAAGTGTTAGGCAGCGGAACTGGATGCAGTTCGGCGGGTGTGCGGTCTGGGGTGGACAAAATCAATAGTCGGTAGCTACGAATAGCTACCACTACACCCGTAAAATCTGCACACATCGCGATTCTTTATTCGGCTCATATCCGTACCGTATCCCCGAACACGCCCGAAATGATTATCTTCCGAGCAGGTGGCGCTTATGATGAACATAATATCGCGGCTTCCGTACACACGTATGCACATTTTTATAAACTTACACCACCTGAGGGTGCCATATTTATATATATGTCATATACATTTTACGAGGGGCTCGAGAGCAATCCGTATTGCTAGTTATTTTTACCGGGCTCCGCATCAAATTAGGTTAGCCACATTAAATATTTATTAATCTTATTTTTTTATTGGATTGAACTTGATGAAGCACAAATGTCTCTTTAAAAGCAACTATAAATAAATTAATCATTCAGTACCTATCTACTAAAATAAATTGCATTTCTAAATCACACGGGCAGATAAGATGTTGCTTGTAAGGCCATCTAATAAATATTTTGATTATTCAGCTGTCCCTCTACGATGTGGCACATAGATTAAGATTTGCACAGAGCGAGCATGCACGACCACTACAACTGAAGTATACTTGAACGGTTAACTATCAATCATATTTCCGCTACAGTTACGTCTTAAAAAAATGTATGTCACATTGCGGATGCCAAGAAAATACCCTAATAATAAATTAGCATAGTAATGTTTGCGGCCGTTATGTAGGATTGAGTCCGCTTTAATTAATATAAAAAAGCGGCGCTACGTAGTGTCACTGGCCTCAGCAGATTTGACACTAGCAATATCTCTTGTTGAAATGTAAACAAAAAAGCTTGTACTTATTAATCTACCTAGGACACTTATGCAGTTTCCAATTCATCATTAATACGATACTATGATTAGTACCTATACAACTCACAGTTACGAAGCTAAGAACCGGATTATGTTACTATATGTTTAACGCAGAGCCTTCTTTTTATGGAGAATAATTAATTCCTCTCGAAATGTTATGATGTCGTTTGTTAATCATGTAGATACATTTAGTAGATAGAGGACACAGCTTTTATTAGATTTGTTATCTATTAGATTATATCTCTAAAATAACTATTGGTATAATGTAATGGTATCCTCTTCGAAGTGTCCAGTTGTGTGCCAAGTAGAGCCTTGGCACTAAATATAACAGTTTAACCCGTTAAGGATAATAATACCGATATTATGTAGATATCACCGTAGTAGATACCGCACATGTAGTATGTGCGTTAGATAGCTCGCCGCCTCGCGCCTACTGCCTCCATTCTACTCCATTTCCCTGAGTTGACTCTAACTATTATCACGAGAGTGTAAGTGGCTTGCACACGATATGTTTTTGTTGAATTCTCCGATTATGAGCATACAAATGTTGTTTTAGGTTTGAGTCATTCTTAAAAACCCGTAGCGTTATGAATGATATTTATGAAACTAGGCTACACGTATTCTATGAACTGAATGGTGTGATCTGTCCAATCTATCACATTTTATGATATGTGAAACGATTTTTTATAAATGTAACCTTAATGCTTTCATAAATCTAAATAATTTAAAAATCAGAACTGCTTCACGACACGAGTAACAGTTAATCATGAGATTCCTAATGTTTATTGATCGTTAAATGATTGTGTTCAGTGACTAGATAAAAGGATAGAACAAGTTATTCAAATTCGATAATGATGTCGATACTTAATGAGGAATTTGTACGAATTAATTATTGTCCTTCCGGAAAATATAAATGTCTTAATTAAGAGATATTTCTCTTAGTTGTAACGGTAATTATTTACACTGATTGCTATCAGAATATTAAGTAAATACTGAAATGTTAATGAGCACCTACAAGTATTGTAGATTTTGATTATGATTCGCAATTAATATATTTATTTATAAACTGTTACTAACACAAGGAATATAATATGTGGAGTATGTACGTATGAGTTGTGATACCTGCCTGATATTAAACAAATTGCAAATAAATCAACTTTTAAAAGGTAATTTAATTTATAACCCTTAATATTATATTATAAATAAAATAAAAGTCATAAATTATTAGGTATATTTATATAAGGTAATAATTTTAATAATAAATTGTTGTAATGCCCAAAAAAGAAGCCCAAAGAATTTATTTTCTCCAAAGAAACTAGGTTAAATTGGTATAGGTGGCACCTGGATTGCAGGTATACCACCTACCCTATTCATTTATATCGATAGCAATATATAATAGAACATTTTCTGGCAATACTACATTTATAGTAGTCAGACAGTAATTGTTTTCACCCAATGCTACGGTTAGACCTATACATAAAAACTATAAATAGGTAATATGTATATTATTATTACAAAAGTATATTTGCGATACCATATAACATATAGAAATAATTAAAATATTTTGTTAAAAATACGAACAATACGTGACGATATGTAAAAGAAGACAGGCGTGTAATATAATCACTGACAATTGTATTATATCGATCGAAAGTACCTAAAGTATCTATATCTGTAGTGACGTAACATGATTTCTACTGAAGGTGATAGATATATAATACTATACCCACCTGTATATACATAGACTTTCAAGAACAATAACAATCGATTTACCTTGAGTAATCACAACGCATTAACCTTAAAATGTTTGACCACACAAAATATAATACAAAAAATACAATAAAACCATAAATAAAACATCATAATATCATAACAACGTGTAATGTTAAAAAGTAAATTCACATTTCATTATATCTGCTTATGTACTACTTACATTCGTAGTTATTTTTTTTGATATTGCTTATACTTTGCAAAGATTCATGAAAGTATATTTAGTTTAGTGGTAGAGAACACTGTTTGGTTTAAAGGTTCTTTTATCAAACCGGGAAGTAGTTTTATATGTATCGATGGGAGCTCTGGAATAAGTTGTTTGATATTATAGTATCATCCTTACCTAAGTAAAGTAAGTAGGTAAGGATGATAGATGCGATGGAGATATGATATACTATATTTCTTCTTCTAATTTTTATGCTGGCTGAGTACCGGTTACCACTGGTTAATATAAAAAAACTAAGATTTGATTGTTCGTTTGGGGGCGCTAATCTCTGGAAGTACTGACTCTAATTATTATTGTGTTGGATAGTCCATTTCTTAAAGGCTATAAAACATCACGCTTTGATCAATAGGAGCCAAGCAGTGCGTAAATCCGGATTAGTTAGTCTAAACTAATATTATAAAAATGAAACATTTACGGTTTTGTATGAATGTATGTTTGAAATGTTTTCACACAAAAAATACTGAACTGATTTCAAAAAATGTTTCGACTTTTGTAAACTGCACCTTTACTTAACAATATATAATATAGTGTTTTAATAAAAATCCTACGGGAACGAAAGAAAACGGGATTACGCGTACGAAGTCGCGGGCATAAGCCACTAATCTATTATATATATTAAAGAAAGTCGTGTTAGTTACATTACTTATAACTCAAGAACGGAAGAACAGATTTAGCTAAAAATTGGTATAGAGGTAGCTTAGAGCCAGGAGACGGACATAAGATACTTTTTATCCCGTACGAAAAAAAAAAGTTTAGTTTAGTTTTAGTTTCCGGGAGAAACAGGATTGCGTGTACGAAGCCGCGGGCAGAAGCTAGTTAGATAATAAAACAAAGTATATGCTACCAAAAAGTTGCATTATTTTTTGTTCTGTAATTCCGTGAAATTGTTTGCATAATTAGAACAATTACTTCCTATGTCACGGTGAATTCAAAACACACGTTAAATTAAATATCGCATCGTACGTAGTGTGTGTACGTACCGCGTCCTCACAGCTCTACGCTTTATGTAATCATGATAAATTTTCATGAACGGTTATTTGTCAGCATAAAACACTTATTACCTACATTCTTTTTTCACAATATTGCCCTGTGTCAGCATAGATAGATAAAAACATATTTTATCAACGTTTACATTATAATTTATAAACAGCGAATTAACATGCTGAAGTTGTTATTTTGATTAATTCATTCTTTCAGTTTACGCGTGTATTTGCATTTTTAATGAAATGCCTTGAGAAGGTACTTTTATGAAATTATATGGCAGAATAAAAAGTAAATGGTAATTGACGTGTTCATGCGTATCGGATGTTGGGCATGTGTATGCATGTGTTTGTGAGCAGTTCGCTGGTCGCGCTGCGTCGCTGTTGCTTCTTCGTCACTTGCTGCACCACTCCTCATACCTCATTAGGTACTATCACATACAATTATGTAATGTCACCTGAACATTTCAACATGATCGTCTAGTTATTGTACTAAACTACAACGTGCAGCGCTCACAAAATCACATAACAGTGTATTCAGAAACAGTGACATCTAATCAATTGGCTCGCATTTTTATATTTTCTAAGTGTGAATGTAAGAAAGAAGTTACCTACAATAAGAAATTTCAGAAAAGCGATTCAAATATTATTTACTTACTTTATAAGTGATAGTGTTACTTACCTATTCTAAAATTAATTAGTGTGTCAAATTCTTCCTTTGCAAGGCCTTCAGTTTCATTAGTTTGTTATGTACCTACATATTAAAAGTGAATATTCATTGAATCATGCGACTGTAAATGATGGTCGTTATCTATTATCTAATAAATTATACGCAACATGCGCATTGATTACGGAAACGGTCACGACGTCTATACGATGGCGAGAATTTTGCTAATTGGCTATATCTAATAGATAAGCAATAAAATCAATGGGGAGGACATCGGCTGCATCTTCAATTTATGCCGATGTGGATTCGCGATGCGTCGGGTTCCGACGCCGGCCCCCGCCACCGGACCTCATATTTATACGCTAAAGCGGGCGCCGCTAAGAGTTCAAACGTGCGTCGGGCGCTCGGAACAGTAGACGATCGAGAGAATCGCAACGCGTGGGTAGACGAGGGCGAGTGCAGTGTGCAGTGCGTGCGGGTCTTGTGTCGCTGAAAGCTCGCGCCGCGAAGCCTCCGAGAGCGGCGGCATCGGGCGAGCGCCCGCTTCGCGTCAGTGCCGGCCCGGCCGTGCCGAAAGCACCACGCTCCGGCAACGATACGATCTAACTGTTACCTGCTGGACACTGATTTTTACCTGCCGGCCGTCTAGTGTACGCGAATATATTTAGTGTCAAAGACTGGTGAGTTTTCTTACATTTACATAGTTTATCTACTTAAAAAAAAATTTTTGGAGAAATGTTGCAAATTGTAAATATTATAATTTATACTATTAAAAACTTTATAGTTACTTTGAAATCAGTAAATAATAAATGCGAAGTAATATAATACATCGTTGCGCAGCCCGCAAAAGCGCGGCGTCTGAAAAAGCCGGTCTGTGAGCTTTTCCACTGTTCAGGCCTTAGAGCTAACCGTAAGTTTTCATAATAGTGACTGGTTTTAGATAATACATTTATGTTAAACAATAGTTGACTAAGTCATGTTTCATTTTCTAATGCAAATACAATCGCTTCAAATTTACTGCATTTTCCAACTTCGTTATTGAATATTTTTTCAATGTTTTAATAATTCATTTTCCATGGTACATTATCAAATTAAAGGATAAAACACAACGTTTTGTATTTGTAGAACATAAGTGCAAACACGTTATTGTATTGTTACTTTCTTTATTTCAAATTGGTTTTGGACATTTTCGTACATTTTCCATTCTTAAAGAACTGCGGTTGAATAAAATGAAGTCACGTTTTTGTTAAAAGTTTGAACGGTATTGAATCGGCTGATTAGAATAATAAAAAGTAAAAATAGAGCGATTGTAAGAATATTGTGAGATAATTAATAAGGTATCAATTGGCACAATTTAATATAGATGAAATACATAGTATGGCGTGAGTGAATCGGATACAGCCGCGTGCCACAACAACGAGCGTGGCGGATTCAATATTTCACAGTCACCACCGCTAATCATTGACGATTGTACTTACAAAGTAGATTGAAATCAAATCAGGTACTTGATGCATACAGACGATATTTTTTACAATTCAATAATATAAATAAAACACAAACATTTTTATGAATCATTTAAATATTTATTCATACCATTACCTTAAAATATTGTATCGAGTTATAACAATGTTGTATAGACATACAGTCAGACGTTTATGTAGATGAAGATATGTGAAAGCAACCCTAAAGTGGGCTCGCTTCCCTCATCTCAACAAAAGTTTCCCGAGAGTTCGACGTCACGTACACTTTAGGAAGGAATCCTTGTACTCGGCGCGAAGCACCCTTTACTTAGTCCTGCACGACGACGCTCACACTTACTGATCCCGCCTAATGTTCGTTTAATTGTGTTTTCATGTTATCATTATATCTTTCTATAATTCAGTGGAGTTAATTCTCTTATACTCTTACAGAGTTGTGTTCTAATATCGAAAGTTGCCGACTTTCGATTTCTTTGTCTTAGATATACCTAATTATATTCCTTTTGCTTAAACAAAAAGTTCTAATTCGAATACTTTATTTATTAGACTTACCATCTATTTTAATTCGTCTTCCCTAAGTTGAGAAGTCGAACGAATGTTTCCTATTGCTCATGTTTATCTTGAGTTGAATTCGCGGCGGACTCCCAGCCCCCTCGGGGCTCATTTAGCAACGAAATTTATTATTCGGGGTCAGTGTGTTGCCTCTGTGAATTCTGAGTCAGAAGTTACACTGGCTGGAATAATAAAACCAAACCAACAGCCGGTCGACTGCGTAGGTACACTTTCGCGAGTTGATCGTTCATTTTATGACATACAGTTTTAGGGAAATAATTTTCAGTGATAAAACTTTGGTAAAGTTGCAAATGTTGATATTTCCCTGTAGATTCCGTTTACTGTCTTAGCGGAAAGTTAATGTTTTATCCCAGTCATTTCCCGAGTTTCCATAGCAGAGGTAAAAAGATTGAGTCGGCTTCCGAAAATTACCCACCAAGCTAAGTCGGTGAATGTGGTGTTCGAATTGTCGGTTTCGGTCCGGTTGATTGCGGCGGCGGGCGGCGCGGGTGGGCTCGGGCGCGCCTGCCTCGAGTTCAAGTGCAGGGTGAAGGTTCCGCGCCTGAGTACGCCGCCGCCGCTACCGTCGCGGACGCCGCCGCCGCCGTCACATCCGTGCTTTAACTTTTACTAACTAGATACATAGACATAGACCTCAACTTCCGATACCTTTCCCTATGTTTACGTAAAATTATGCAAAGACAATTATTGTTGATATCAGTCGAGTCGATTTGTATCATGTTTGCGTGTTAGCCGACAGTGAAACTGCATCTATATCTGTTGTCGTTTTCAGTGAATGGCACGGTCAATTCGAGGGGTCAATGACAAGGCTAAGATCAAAGAGAATATATTTGAAGTTATTAAGATAATACCAATAAAGGCGGGTTATAGTTTTACGGTAATTTGTGGTTAGATGCAAATTCTGATGACAAGTACATTTAAAAATTATATACTTGTTGATCGTGTAGGTTAACCGACAAAAGAAAGTTAACTTTAATAAAAAGTTTGTAAGTAGTGACCTGACCATGTCCTAAATTCAAAAAGTTATACGTGAATTTAAATTAGGTACAACAATGAATGAAACACAGCATATTCCAAAAATATTTGACCTTTCGAATTCAAACTATCAGTATCAGTTACATTATGTAATATATACAATTTAAGAAAATGTTCAAAAACGTACGATTATAGTAAAACTTTTTAAATATTCAAAAGAAACAAAGAAATAAAAATGAATTTGCATACGTGACGAACAAAAATTAAATGGCAAATCAAAAGTAAATAGCCGCAATCATTGATGATGGTACCTACAAGGTCGGCGAGCTTCCGATTCTTTTGTTTAGTGTTTAGCACTTAGAGCGCGGAAATACGCCTAGTTGACGGGAGCTAAATGACTGGATGACGCTCTTCCTTCAAATATACCTAATGGCCGTGATGTTAACTACACTTTTTTACTCGTAGTAAAAACAATACGATTTTTAACTACTTAAGTTCAAGGATTTTAAGGAAGGTGGCTACATTAATAGATATTATTTGTCGACCACCATGTAAAATCAATACATATCGATAAAATTGCTTAGCTTACGGTAATTCTTGAAATTCACGTCGAGACAAAGCCGTTATAGAGAAGGCAGCTATAAAAATAAGCATCCTTAAAAGTTAGCAACGTCTTCGGCGACTCCAGTGACTCCGCATTAATGAAAGCGCGCGTCAATATGCGCGCGCGCAGTCCCGCCGTGACAGAATGCGCTCGCGGCGTCCGTCGACAGAGCTGCGTGCCACGCGCCGCCGCCGCTTCCTGAGAAAATGGCAACTTATGGGGAACTGAATCTGGGCCTCGCAAGTGCCATTGACCCGCGCAACCTGCCACACTCGACGCACATGTGTTGCCATTCACATTTAATATTTACCCACATACCTCCACTTTATATAGGTTTATAGACTCGTAAGCATCGAACAGCCACAATGGAGCGCAATAGCCAATGGTTTTAATGACTGCAGGATTAGCTATTCTACATGATCTTCATCCTAGTTTATTTAACATATTGTTGATAGCCACAAAAGTGATCTGGTCATTGTTAGGCTATCTGAGTAGAGTGCAAGAAGCCGAAGTATTGTACGGTAGTTCTCCAGATGGCTCAGAGTGTTGGTGGTAGCGTCGAGCGCAATGTGTCTGTCAAGCCGCGCCGCCGTCGCCGGTGTAGGAGCTGAAACCGTTACCGGACCACAAAAATGTCGCAAAAAAGCTCGTAAACCGTTTCTGTTTCACTTGTTATATTGTAATTTTGTGACGTGACTTTTATTTCATGGTATATTTAAGGAGATTTATCAACAATAGGCAGCTCTCGTGTACTATTATGTAATAATCAAAGCGTATACTTCGTGATTTTGTCTATTGTCAAATTCACTGTCTGTAGTTACCATTTATATTTTTTATTGCAATACGAGCAATGTGATTATATTTCTATTATAATACAATAACACAATCTACAGATTGAATTAGTTTTGCAAAGGTGCAGCGGCGATGCGTCACGTGCCTTGTAAACACACAAAGAAAGTATTGTTCTAGTACAGGATAGTTATTGGTTTCCGATGTACTCGGCAGTGGTGCAAGTGTGTAAGAAACCTCACGTCGCGTCGCCGTCTGAATATCAATATCAGAATATAAGTAAGCTGCGATGCCAGTCACAATGACCGATAAAAGAGAAACACACGAATATGGCCCTAGTCCGAGTCTGTTTAAAATTCACATTCAGTGTTAACACTTCGCTTGGTGCTCGGTACCACCAATTGGAATGTAGGTTATGATGTTATTTAGCCCAAGTTTTTTGCCGGCACCAGTTTTTATATTTACTTACAATGGGTAATAGTTATCTATTTCCATGCCAATCAATCTCATATAAGGCGTGAAAGTATTGACGTCACTGTGCTAAATTAAGTGTTCTTGAGTGTGATAATACCTGCGGCTATTTTATTGAGACCACGACTTATTGCCTTTGTGTTTATCTGTATGGGATTCGATGCTATTCCAACCAAACGAGTATTTGATTGAGTATTTAATGTGTATTGGATTATTTAATGAAATGAATCACTTTCATTATTATTCTGCAGCTGTTAACTTGTAAATTGCTAATGATACATTCAGTTAAAAGGAAAATATACAAAAAATAAGTTGCACTATTATTATTACCGCTTAGATCATTTCAGTTAACAACACTCTGAACAATTACAATAACGTCAATATATAAGTATTTTCGAACATCTAAATGTTTTACAAAACAGAATAAAAAATACAACGCAGTAACTTAGACAGCACTTAAGCGGAATATGATTTATAATAACACAAAAAAGCTCTCCGGGCGTCTGAGCTTAGTCAAGGAAACATAACAATAAGATAGGATAATGTCGGTGCTTGCTAGACCACTCAGTTCATTCCTTTACTTCGCACTCCCCCACAAGTATCGCTATTAAATTCACGCTGACAATAAAGAAAGGAGTAGACTTATATTACTGGCTGAATTTACAACCAGAGCTTAAATTTATCGTGTCGATATTCCCGGTGCTCGAGTGTAGCGATGCATTAGCTACCTTCCCTAAAGAGTATCTGCTCGGAGCCCACGCTCATGGCACCCACACTCTAATAACAAGAC